TTAAAGTAACAAAACCCTGCTGGCTTAAGCCTGAAAGAGAAATGTGATGTGAGGTTACAGGAATAACTCTTGGGAAGTGTCACTCGGTCTGACAAAGGATTGTCACATTCAAGATCCGAAAAGCCACCGGGAACATAGCAGCTGACTTCCCAGGCTCTCTCTGCTCATTTGCTTTGTTTTTCTCTTTGCAGAAATGCTGTCTCTGCCTTTCCATACACAGGACACAAAAATCGCTCCTCTCACTGTCCTCGCCCCAGGCTCTGGGTCCTCAATTTGAGCAACAGCAGAGACTGACCGGCATCCCTGAATTTCAGATCCGATTCCCAGGACAGATCTGATTGGCCCTGATGAGTCAGGTGTCCATCTACCCTTGGTCCAATCAGCTATGGCTGCGGCTGGGCTGGGAAGCACAGCTGTGCAGCCTGTCAGTCTCCTCCTTCAGCACCTGCGTGAGGGACTGGTCTCAGAGAACAGGGGAGGGTTATGAGATGGGCAGATACACGCCAAATGGTGTGGCAGTCATTGTTCTTTATTACAAACAGAACCTACTCCAGTTTAAGTGGAAAAAGAATAGGTATCCCACAATCTCTAGAATCGAGCTTGGAAGTGATGCACCATGAAGCAATGTACAATCTACCCTGCAGTGCCACTTACTGTCCTCTGCCAGTGTAGATAGTGTCCATGAAACTGGACACCAGGAGCCAGAAGCTTCACCACTGCTGCCATTCCAGAGCCAATCCCTCTGCTGCCACCATTTCCAAAGGATCAAATCTGCACAATCCACCTTCTTCACAGAGTTCTCTTTCTAAATCTCTTCACTGGGCTGCATCTAACTGAGGGGAGCTCGGCCTCATGCCTGGAGTGTGGTTGCGAGGTAGGCTGGGAAAGCGAGTTCTTTCTCCTACTGATGCCCGGGAGGGATGGAATTCCTAATGAAGGAAATTCCCGAGACGTGGGAAGGTTGTTCACAAGACGGTGGGCAGCCACAGATGTGACTGATGTCCACGAGGGGTGTCTAAGACAGTGGTAAGAATTAGAGTTAAGTGTTAGGATTTCAAACAGGGCCTCCAATGGGGGCGTGCAGTGCTGGGGAAGAAGAACCATTTGGCCCAGACATCACATTCGTGAAGGGTTTTTCAACCCTTGACATTATCTCCAAATGGACTTACACATGAAGGTTGCAAAGAGACAGTGATGAGACAGTATTAAGTTCATTCTCCACCTTTAAACTTGTGCACCATAATTGGACCAGACTGCATCAGATACACTAGGAATTCATAAATTTTATAAACCTTATAAGTATCTTGGAACTAGCACCGCCTAATTATAATACGTTATATTTTTGTGTGCTAAAGTATTTAACTTGTTATATGTAGCCATTTAAATAATCCACAACGTTTGTAATTCTGAACTATCTGAACTAGAATTTCTTTATTGGGGAGTCTGTCTCAAAAAGGGGAGATGGCCAGGATCACTCTTGAGAGGCTTGGAGTTCAAAGAAGAGGGGATCTTTTATTTTTTAGTCTTCTTAAAAAATGCTTTATTGAGGTAAAATATGCATATATGATTTACCATCTTTATCATTTTTAAGTATACAGATTAGTGATAATAAATACATTTATATTCCCTTTTTTTTTTCAGAAGGGAGGATCTTGCGGGCTATTGGCGAGGGGAAAGGAGGACCCCAAACATGTCTCTGAAGGACTGGTGGGTTTGTTTTGATAATTGGAGGGAGGATGGGGAATGTCATCATTGTTAAGTGTCCCTCTCAGAGCCAACCAATCCCTTTTTTTACAAAGGGACAGCCATCCCAATCCTTGTCCCAACTCCCTCTGAGCAGAAAGCCCATTCCTGCGATGTGGATAATTCGCAGGTCCCCACCACCTATGTTGCCTCAGCTCTGCAAGTCCCCAGTTCAGTGTGGGATGTGGGGCTGGGCTGAGGAGGTGGAGAAGCCCCTGGGAACTCAGGGTTCTGAGAGCTCCAGATCTGCAGGTGGGGGTGAGGTGGCATGGGGGCATTGCTCCCATCAGTATTGGTGTGGATAAGGGACACCTAGCAGAGTTAAGCAGAATTTAACTGCCGCGCAGTGTTGAGCTGTTTAATTTGCTCCTGAAAGTAATAGTAGAAGTGTCCTAGTTAATTGAAACAGAGATTATAAATTAGGGCTTCCAGAGAGGTTCTTGGGGTTCACCTTGCTAGGATTTTCTTGTGGGATGGTTTTGGAGGCTGCCCAGAGAATGACATTTGAAGGACCTTGGGGTCCCAGTGCTTCCTGCCCGAGTTGCTCCACATGGCAGTCCTGTTTTTTGAAAATTTGAAATTATGTGATGTAAATATATTAATAAGTTCTCTCTTAGAGCATATTGTGAAATATTGTGAGCTTCAGTTCAAAATGTCAAAAATCCCATACTTTCCAAGTTGGCAGACCCAGGGAGTTGTGAGATATGGTAACGATTTCCACAGCCTAGCAGTGATAGGTGAGCTGATAAATACGCAACCTTATCCTCTGTCAGCTGCTGTGGGCATCACGGTATTGTTGCCGTGCTTTGGAAGGTCAGTGAGTGATTCCATTAGTAGTGCCTGGTTATGTTATCAGGCACTGTTAGAATTGAAACTCTTTTTTTATATCTCATAACAATGGCATCCAAGTGTTGGTTAAGTGGTGGAGCTCGCAGTAGTGCTCCAAAAATGGAGCTACCACCAGCAGCTTTGGACCGGAGGTTGAGAGGCGTGAAAATGCCACCAAGAAGGCCAAACAACCACCACGATGCTGCCAATTCAGGAGCAAGCCCTCTGCAAAATTTTGGGTAGCAATGAGAAAATGAAAAGCAGCATTAAAGCCAAAGCATGTTTCTGTGATTATAGATTTATGGAAAATAAGAAATGCTACTCTCACTTTATATGTATTTCTTTGGGAAGATTAGTTTCATATGAAGTGAAGTTTGAATTAAATACGACTATCTTAATGATAATTGGTATTCCTAACTGGTATTTCTCACTGTTTCTGTTTTCAGAAAGAGAGAGAATGGCTGCCAGATTAATTCTCCTCAAAGGCTGATCATGTCACTCTCCTGCTCAAAAACCTCCTGTGGCTCCCACTGCCCACTAAGATTGATCCCAATTTTCAAGCTATTCAATCACAGTGGTGCTGAATCTTCCTTTGGGACCAGAGGCTCCTGAGGGTGGGGCCACAATTGCTCCTTCCATGCACACTCATGCTAACAGCACCATAACTCTGAACCTGCACCAGGGTCTAACTGTTGGGGGAGGCATTTATGTATTGTGGGTGGAGGTCTGATGGGGGAGTCTCAATACTTGGCATGGATGGGAACTCTTGGTGTTCCAAACATTTCCAGATGCCCAAAATGTATGGCACTAGATCAGTGCCTGGCACATAATAGGCCTTCATTAAATATTTGTGTGATGAATGAATGGTCTTTACAGAGTTTTCTAACCTCAGGGACAGAGACCAGGCCACAAAGGTGCAGGGGTCTCCAAGATCTCAGGCAATTCTGGGTTTTCATTTCCTTGGTCTAGGCTAGGGAAATGATCTCTATAATAACAAACAAACAAACATGTCTTACGTTGTGTAAGGCAGGGTTTCTCAACCTTGTGACTACTGACATTTTGGGCCAGATATTTGTTGTGGGTAGCTGTCTGTCCTGTGCAACACAGGATGTTCAGCAGCATCGCTGGCCTCTAACCAGTAGATGCCTTGTGTCCTGCACCCAAGTTGTGAAGTCAAATATGTCTCCAGACACTGCCAAATGCCCCTGGAGCTGAGGGTGGGGAGCGCACCGAATGACCCCCAGTTGAGAACCACTGGTCCAGGGCAATAGCTCTCAACTCCAGTTGCATATTTGAATCACCTGGGGAGACAAACAGTAATGCCTGGTATTTTGAGACGTTCAGATGTAACTGGTTCTGGGGAGTGGGCCATGTATAGGGAATTTTGAAAGCTTCCCAGGTGGTCCTAACATTTAGTCAGGTCTGAGAACCACTGGTCTAGTGCTTCACAGTCTATAAGCTTCGTATGTTTTCAAGCTACACAACCCATCTGTGCTGGAGGTGAAGTGGGTTATTATTGTGGTTTTCTGGCTGGGGAAGCAAAGTCCAGAGAGGTGTGGAGTTGCCCTATGAGGGGTGAAGTTGGGCTTTCTACTCAGCTCATCTGACTCCTAACTCCGTGCTCTGTTCAAGGAGTAGAGCACAGCCTGGGCAGGTTGTCAGGTTGACCAAGGGGGTCTTCGCTGTGAGTCTCCCTTTTCTGATTGTTTTCCCTATCCATGACCTCCCACTCCTCATTCCCCCTTTGGTTTCCCTGTGTTTCTCTATGCAAAGGCACAGCTAGCAACCATCTACACTCTGGTGTGAACAGGAGGCTGTTCTCTATCTTCTAGGGGGATTTGCAAGTCATGCCTCATCTGTAACAGCGAAAAGAAAGGCTTTACATCAGCCCATTGACAGGGTGGGGATGGTCTTGGGGTGGTAAACTGTGTGTTCGTGGTATCTCTGAAATCAAATCCAGCAGGTAATTACCTTTGATTAAGGTTTACCTCATTCTAGATTTGGGCTTAAAGTTCAATTCCATTTCATTGCAATTCCATTTCATTCACAAATAATTATAGAGCATCTCTTTTATGTACAGTGCAATTACGAAGCTATTCTCTGTTGTTTGGATCTCCCTAACTAGGTCTAAGTTCCCAGGGTGGAAGGTATCTTCTCCTGCTTCTGTGTCACTAACTATACTTCAGCCCCAATTAGACATATTACATGGTAGGTTTTTAATACGCAGGTGATTGAATGTCAGGTCACACTCACCCCACAGACCCAAACCTGTACCCCTGGAGAAAAACATGCACGGGTGCAACCTTAGGACTAAATTTGCAGATGTGTGGCTAAATTTCTCCCTTCTGCTCATGTGTGGCATCAGGAGCTGGCCTCCAAAGCCCTGGGGAAAAGTGAGCATGGTGGGGTGTGAAACTTCCCTAAAACAAACATCTTGAACAGAGATCACTTTATTGGTATGGCTTTATTTTAAGCAAAGGAAAAAAGACAAAGCCAAGAGACAGACTCTTCTAACAGATGCCTGGGGGTGGCTGGACATTTCTGCCCCCTGCTGTGCAAAGGGGGGATCCGGGCCCACACACCCACACCACTCATGCCTTGACACCAGTGGTCTGCCTGGGTCTCAGTGCACCTTCTTGAATACTTGCTTGCAGACAACACCCTGCACTCGCATCTCCTGAAACAAAAGCAGATGCTGGTCATTGGCCAGAGCAAAGTCATACACGGGGCTCACTGCATCTAGGGACAGGAACTTTGAAAATACTCACTGGTTGCTGTCTTCCCTCAAGAGTTGGTTTAACTAACCAATTCTTTGGAAAGTTAGCTAAACTGGATAGTGGAGATCTGCCTCTGCAGCACCCTGGAGACAGAGCTGGCTGGGAGGAACAGATGTGGCTCACAGCTGACCAGCAGGACCCCTGTGCCCCCCGGCCCCCGACCTAGACTGAGATCATGGGTCAGGGAAGCTTAGAGAATTCTCGTCTCTGGCCTGCACAATTTGGCATGGTGAGTATACACTTTGGCATGGTGAGTATATACATCGTTTGGGAGTAAATTTGCTTCTGCCACTTTCTAGATGTGCAATTTGGACATGTAATCTAAGCTTTCTGAGCCCCCACATCTGCATCTCTAAAATAGGAACCATATTCCTGTTTTGAGAGACTAGAAAGAGATATGGGATGCAAAGGGCTTAGCTCCTCACTGATGCTTAGTAGATGTACCTCTTCCCCCCATCCCTTGGATTAGACCACTGGGTCAGCCTAGACCTTCAAAACACATTGCTTGGTTTTTAAAGTCACTCAAGCCATCTTCTCCAGGCCTTTGGACCTTAACAGTAGTGAGGGCCTCTTGAGGCCCAGCCTGGCCCAGCCCAGAAACCTACCAGGTGCAGCTCATCACCCTCGATCCACTGGGTCCAGCCACGCCCCTCCTTCTCACCCTTCTGCACACACTGGAGCTTGTCCCCGTCCCAGCTCACCGTGGTCTGCCAAGCAAGAAGCACAGTTGTCAGCCCTGAGCAAGCAGGCAGCCCCTGGGGGCTGGGGAGGGGACAGCTCCCAACCTTGATAATCCAGCATGTGCCCATATCAATTTCATTACAGAAAATTTGCAGCCTGAAACTCCGTCCACCACATGCCTTTACTAAAGTGTGTAAATCAGTTTTAAAATTTATGAAAACCTTTATAAATTTTGTTTAAAAGCATAATTAGGAGGGAAAAAGTCACTGGGGTGGGGCTGTCATTGCGAGAGCTGAGAAGGGGGCTGGACGGGGGTGGGAGAGGCTTCTGAGGGCCCAGCGCAGCCCAGGTGTGGGCAGGGTGTGGGCTCTGTTCCTGCATCTTGCCGCTGAGGGGCAGACTTCTCAGAGTACCCTGCCCATCCCCAGACATGTCATCCATTCGCTCATTGTTTCAACCTTTGCTGGGTCCTGGGCCCCACCCCTGCCCTCAAACTGCTCTTCATCTCATGGGAGCAATGACCTTAGACAGAAATAACCAGCTGTGGGTATGAATGGCAGCCATTAGCTGCCTGCCTCCTCTCCGTGTGCTGTCTCTAAATCCTCACGACTGTCCATCTGGAGCATGAGTGAGCATCTTTCTTTCACTGATCAGGTTAAGGGACTTGCCACGCTCACCCAGGTGGAAGAGCCAGGTCAGAGCACAGATCTGTGGGGCTCTGCAGTGTCCCTCCCCACCGTACCGCACTGCTTCTTTAAGTGCCCAGTGTCAGCAGAGTTACAGGTCAGGGGCTGTGGGAGCCCAGGTGAGAGTCCAGGAAGGGGAGGGTCTGGGAAGAGGAGGCACCAGGGCTGGCCCTGAGGCCCTGAGGAGGAGAATGGAACTGGAGGAGAGGAAAGGGGGTGCTGGGGGAGGGAGTTCTTGGTGACCATCATGAGATGAAGGCACAGAGGTAGGACAGCAGGAGCTCATCAGGCGGGCACCAGGGGACCGTGGTGGAAGGAGGAGGAAGGTCCCGCTGCCCTGCCCGGGCTCGGCAGAGCATAGGTGAGCTCTGCCAACACCTCCTCACCTTTGAGCACTTACATCCGCCCTGAGCACTGAGTGTCCTGCCAGGTGCTGGGCAGCTGAAGGGAGGACAGGCAGGAGGTGGAGGCCCAGCCCGTGTCCTTGGGAGGTTTCACTCTTGTTTGTTGGAACAGAAAGGGCTCCCCAGGAACACAGTGCTTAGTGTTAGCATTCAGAGGCAAGGCAGTCTTGTCTCCCCAGTGTAGCCATGAGTGTGGTCTAGATTGGGATGTATGTCCCAGAGCTGGGCACACAGAAGGCACAGCGGGCATCTCTCATATTTGTGGCTGTCCACCTCCTTTTGGATAGTTTTTCCATCTGGGCACTTCCATGTTATGAGCCCTGCCTCCCACGGTAGTGGTCAGAACTTTGTTTGCCCCATGCTCACTGTGTGGCTCTGAGCAAATCCATCCCCTCTCTGGGCCCCTGTGTTCCCATCTGCCACCTGAGGCCATGAACTCAGAGGCCTCGTCTTTAGAGAGCCAAGGTTCTAGGATTCTTATGTTCTTTGCCATGCTCAGCTGAGAGTCAGGACAGTCTGCGACAGCCTGATGAGGATTTGGGAGAGGAGAAATCTGGGAAATGGATGTGGCGTAAGTGGGGCCACCTCCCATAGAAGGGTTCCCCAACCCCCAAGGCCTCCCTTCTGGGCTTGCTGATCACTACTGCCCTCTGCTGTGGGGATGACACCTCCAGTGAGACAGCACAGGGAGGTAGAGCCCGGTTTGTTCCCCCAGCTTTGCAGAGGAGTAAGTCTGACCTTTGCCTCTGGACCCTGTTCCAGAGGGACATGGGGCACAAGCGGAGTTGGGGGGCAGATGGGGGGCAGATCTCCCCAACTGGTCCAGAGATTCACTCGGGGCACATGTGTAGCCCCAAGCTAGAGAGAAAGTCCCACCTCTAAGTCAGAACATCTGATGGTTTATGTCCGGTAAGACATGTCACGGGCAAAGACTGCTAACGATGTAGTGCCAGAAATAAGGCCAGAGGCCCCTTCACTTCATCCCTGCTTCATTTGCGCCAGGCCTGTAAAGGGAAGCGGGGACCGAGAAATCAGTCCTTGACATCAAGGAGCTAGCAAGAACACTTGCTGTCCTCATCAACTGATCTTCTCTTCCTGGGTTTATCCAGAAGTCTACCGCTCATGCGAAAGGCTCCTGGTTCAGTTAGAGGTGCAGGAGAGAACTGCTTGTTTTCAGCTATGACACACACACTTCTGCCTCTTCTGGAAACATTAGTCAGTGAGCATATTTCCACAGTTTGTATTGGAAAATGAAAAAAAATGCTCAAAGAAGAAAATAGTAATAAAAAGGATACATGTAATCTTGTTTCTTCCGAGATAATTGTTCTGACATTATGTATGTTACAATGTATGATGCATTCCATCCAGTCTTTTATCTATCTATATTTCTGTTTTTATAAAATTAGGATTGCATCATTTATGGTTTTGTTTCCTCATTTCTTCATTTAACAGAAGCAATTTTTCCTTTCAACAATATTCTCCATAGCATTATTTTAATTGTTATATAATATTCAGGAAATGGCTACATAATTTGTAGGGCACAGCACAAAATGAAAATGAGAAATCCCTTCTTCAAAAATGATTAAGAATTTTAAGGTAACGACAGCAGAGCGTTAAACCAAGTGAGGGTCCCTTCTGAGTGTGAGCCCCTGAGGGGACTACATTGGTCACAGGCCCATGACGCTGGCCCTGGTATTTCATTATACATACATATTATTATTTAGCTGATTACCTATTCATGTACATTTAAATCATTTATAATTCTGTACTACTGTAAATATGACTTTCTTGTATACATAGTTTTGAACACATTGTTTCCTTGGAATAAATTTCCAGAGGAGGAATGGTTGCATCAAAGACTATGCATATCTTTAAAGCTTTTGATAAGTATTGCCAACTTGATCTCTAGAAAGCTCATATGTGTTTAACACCAGTGTCACAGAAGGACCAGGACAGAAATGTTCGTTAATGGTAAAGCAGACTTGTGCTCCCGTGACACCGCGTCACCCTTCCCAGATCACTTGGCATTGTTTAACAAGGGCTAGCTGGATACCAATAACAATCATACCTTAGCCCAGAAAAAGACAGACGGCAGAATTTCAGGCAGATCTAGGGATACAGGGAGCAGAAGCCTATTTCAGTGCAGAGAAACCTTTCTTAGAGCCCTACAAATCCGATCTCTGAAAAAGAAGGATCCCTATCACATGAATACTATTAATACATGTTTCCAAGGAAGCACTTTTTAAACCCCAAGTTTACGTTGACTCTGATCCTGGGTGAGTTGGACAGAGCAGAGATTATTCTTGACTGTATTGGATGCAGAGGGGTGGCTGAGCTCAGAGAGGTTATGTGACTTTCTCAGTGTCATCCAGTTAATGAGAAAAAGAATTTGGGCTGAAATATGGGTCTCACATGACTTGGTGCCCGCTTGTTTCCCCGCCTGAAGCAGGGCACCCACCAGGCACCCAGCAGATGCCTGCTAAAGTCTTTGGGGGCTGCAGAAAAAACATGGGCATTGTGCTAAGACTCTGAGCAGCCTCCTGGAGGAACAGTCTCCAGTTCACTCCACCCACTGCGGGGTGTGTGTGCTGGGAGTCAGAAGCGGGTCTTAAAGGCTCTTGCCTGTAAAGAGATCGCCACAGAAAGTGCAGACAGAGTAGCACCTAGCTGTGACTGCCTGATGTGGTAGGTCCTGTGATCAGGGAAGCACAGGGGCTGGGGTGGCCACTGGGGGCTCCTGATTCTCAAAGGGGCTTTAAAAAGTGGGAGGGGCATTTGGGGCAGAGTGAATAAGGACGCATGTTGGCCGGGGGCGTGGCCGTGAGGAAGAAATGACAAGCCAGTGCTGCAGAAGCCTATCCTGGCCTTAAGGAGAGGGAGGAACGAGGCTGTTGGGGATGGTGGGTAGACAGGGCCACAATGCCAGACTGAGAAACTTGGACTATGGCCTGGAGCATGTTTTCAATGCCTGTCCTTGCTGCCTGTGCCACTCAGTTTGACCCGGTAATGGCAGCAAAGAACATGATCCTTGGCATCAGAGAGAGCTGGGTCCTCTGTTCTCGGCTACGTGGGATGACTTTGGGTAACTAGATTAACCTCTCTGAGCCTCAGTGCCCTCAGCTGCAAACGAGGGCTAAATGATAAACTGTGCTAGACAGTTTATCCATTGCTGGCCCCCGGTGGATCACGTGATATTCACACCCTTGAGAAGTCCCTTCCCACATTGGCTCGGCTTGGCTATGTGACTTGCTTTAGGCAGCGGGACATTAGCAAGCGTGATGTAAGCAGTGCCTTCGCAAGCACTTGTACACTGGGGGCTTGTCCTCTTGGAAGCCCCCCCTCTTGAAATCCAGCTGCCAAGCTTTAGGGCAGCCCAGGCCGTTCTGCTGAAAAGAAAGGCCCCGTGGAGAAGCCATGGAGGTTGAGAGGAGGGGCCCCTCAGAGAAGAGCTAAGGCACCCCAGCTGATCTCCCAGCTGGGCACTGCCACACGGAGCTGAGAACTGCCCAGTTAACCCCAGAATCATGAGCATATACAGTTGCTGCCTTAACATATTAAGATTTGGGGTGGTTTGTTACATGGCATTAGATAAAACACCCACTTTACCAGGTTGTTCTGAGGATTAGAGAAATTACACAGAAAACGCATGGGGCTGGCACATAGGAGGCACTAGGTAATGGTAACGCCCAGAGCTTGGATAAGGAAGGGGTTTGCTTGTTGAAGATGAATAATAACTAACGTCTTTTTTTTTTTTTTTTTAGAGAATTGGAGATTTTTAAAGCAGTGATGGACATGTTATTCATCATGGCTGAAGTTTTGGGAAGCTCCTTCTCCTTCTAGGAGACTTGGATCCAAGAGGCGGGCTTTCAGAGGCTGCCTGATGGACACGGCCACACCTGCCTCCCCTAAATCTTAACTAGTTTTTGTTTAAGCAGA